CTTCATTACCCATTCAAGCCGTCTCCAGCCATTAATAGCATACTTTGTTCTGTTAGTAAATGAAAACAACGTGCTTTCCAAAATATTTCATTACGTGGTCACTGGGATGATGACAATGTTCTGTTTCCACATGATACTGTTATTAATGCTGTTACGTCAGCGGAAGTCACGTGACGCTAGTAACACGTCATGATATTCTCGAAGGTTCGTGAATGCTCGAGTGTTTACTGGATGTGCGGTATTCTTGTATATAAGACCGCCAAGAAATGACGGCAACAATGGAATTGAATTGCAGACAGAGATAGAGGTGGACAATTGAGTCAAGAGCGTGAATCGTTCGTTGTGAATTATAGCGTTTGTTTAAGTTAACTGACTGTGGGAATTAAGTGTATTGCAAAGTTGTATTGAAAAAGAATAAACTAGTTTTATTTAAGGAAGGACTTGTATTGCTGAAGTTTTTCAGAAAGAATTTCTACGGAAAATTAAAAAACGACCAGAGGCGTAACAATTATATGAAAATATAACTTTAGACCTCTATTAAAGATAACACTTTTATCTAAGATCTTATTTTCACTCAGATGCAGCAACCAGAGAAAGCATATTTTTTCTTGAGCTATATCTTACCAACAGTTTCGTCTGCTTACATTTAACACTATTATAGCGAGGGGAGCTTGGCACAGATTAACGTCAACAACGTATATACAGAACCAGTTTTTAGAATAACATCTAATGTCATTTTATCAGAATATATAACAAGCAGACTATCTCTCAAATCTATTTTTCATTGTGAAGATTTTGCTAAACTGCAAATGCTGGAAAGATTGGAAAATGTGTGTATATATATATAAGAACGAAAAAACAGTCCAGCGAGATTGCCAAATGAAGCTGTCAAAAACTCTAAGTATGCAAATTAATTGGAAATACATTCCAGACTGTAACATGAAAAGTAGAAACAGAATTCCAGAATGGCCACAGAACTCCACAGTGGCTGCACTCCAAAGTTTCAAGAACATTTGTTAGACAAACTCTTTGTAAGTAATTATTTCTATATCTATCTAGTCTAACAACATATTTAACAAATGATGTATCAGATCTGAAGAAATAATGGTAATAAGAATTAACTCTGTTGAGGATTTAACTACATTAATAAAGATGTAATAGAGATATTAAGAAATGGATTGGAAGAGTTATTGATGGAATTATATAAGCATAATTATGTCTAAAGGAACATCTTGGATTACTTGTTTGATAATTTGTTTACCATAGTTTCGATGTTAATAAATCTTGTAGAAGTCTAATTAGTGAGTATATTGCCATTAGAATGACGAGTTTAATTATTTTGATCTAGTATTGTTTCAAGATAGCTTCAGAAGCTTTGATGTAGACGAGAATCTAAATTTATTCTATTAAACGTGTCTTGAGATTGCTTTAGTCAGTCTGTGTGTGAATTCTTTATTCTGAACATAAATTTCTCGATTTGATGGCTTGTGTGTTTAACCCATGACTCATAACCTGGTAACAAATATATGTACTTTAAATTTGTACAAAGTCGATCTAGATGACTATGCCATGCCAAATGGCCACATGTTACAATTTGTGGCAGTGCACCAGGATTAATTTTGGATTACCAGCAACAGGTTGTGAGGAATAAAGAAACGAGTCAGTGTTAGTCTAAGTAATATAAGTAAAAATAAGTAAGTAGATATGGTTGCTGCTGCTGAAGATATTAAAATGGAAGAAGGTGCATCACCCAGAATTGATGAAAAAGCCAGTGCAGGTTTTGAGACTGTGGGAGGCCAACCTGTGCCAGTAGAACAGCACGATACTACACATTTAATGAGCATTATACCACTTTTTCAGGGTAGATTTGATGATGAAACGGGGGTATCATTGATGTAGTTAACGAAGCTGCTAGAATATAATTGTGTACAGACATCCAGAAAAACTGATATACATAGATTAAGAATGTCAGGAGAAGCAAAATATTACATTAGAGCATATGATAAACTCAGAAAAACTACAGATTTTCAGCATCTAGTACACAGACTAACAAAAGAATACGGAAAGCGAGAGATGCCTAATATGTACTAATACTGATTCACAGTTTAACTCAGCAGAGGGGAAAATCAGTTAGGCAATAGGTTGTGTAAGTCATATAGATACTCAAATGATTGTTTGTTTGTTTGTTTTCTAATTTCGTCGCAAAGACTACACTAGGAACTATCTGTGCTAGCCGTCCCTAATTTAGCAGTCGTAAAGACTAAAGGGAA